TTTTCAGGATGCAGATCGTTGGCAAGTGTGACCATTCCCAACTCAGTCACCCAGATTGGGAATGGGGCCTTTTCAGGCTGCAGGGCTTTGACTTTGGTCGTGCCCATGACTCGGAGCGGGCTGCAGATTGAGGTTGATGCCTTCACGGACTGCAACCGGATTCTGGCAAAAGAATGTGACTGTCAACAGTGCGAGTGTCACTGGTTTTGCGATGGCTGGGTGTGTCCTCGCAAGTGGTCTTCCCATCAGAGCCGCTATGGCCATCGCCGTCACTGATCGCCGAAGCGATTGCTGCTTGCTGCTTGCCTCAATCATGGATCACAACGGAGATATACCAGGATGGATCTATACCGGGATGATCGGATATACTAAGACCTCATTGCTGGTCAACCTTTTGAGCCACGTTTGGCGATCCATCACTTGCCGCTACTCAACCGCTCCTCTTGCGTAAAAGGGCCCGCAGTTTTGTTTGACCGTGCGTGGGTGAAGGCACAGACCCCAATCAGCATGGATGGTGGATATGCCCCAGTCAAAAGATATACCCTTCGCGAACCATCACAAGATCGGACGGCAAACACTTCTGCAAAGAGTCCAACAGTCCTACACTCTTCGGCTGTTTGAGAGTTTTGACAGATGCGAGCACAAAAACACCATGATCTTGCGAGTTGAAGATATGCTGAATGATGCTATGCGAACTGTACACAATTGCGAACTGTTTCTTGGCAGCCGGGCTCTATGTTACCCCCTTCCAAGGGCGGGTCATGGTGGGTCGGGCTCATCCGGTGGGTTACGACCCATCCCCCTGTTCTGCTTGGGGCCAGGATGGGCCAGGGCCCAGGTGAGAAGTCCGTCCGTCCGTTCATCGGCGCCACAGGTGGATGTGATGCGAAGTGCGCTGAAGGGACACCATGGAGATCTACATCCGTCCCTTCGTCCACCGGAACGTCAAACCGAAGACCCGAAAACTCAACAAGAACAGGTATTCAAGAAGGTTTTGGAATCCCCAGACACTCACTGGCATATTTACGTACATTGGCCCCCCAACAACGGCACCACCCTAACTGATAGGCAGTCCTATGCCAGTCCAAATCCCGCCCCACAAACCCGGCTCTTCCAGACGCCGAGTCGGGTGGATGAGGGAGTACAGCAAGGAGTCGGACAGTGGGGGACAGGAAGAAGTACCGTGCTGGTGGACTGTTTGAACCTGGATTTGAGGAGGTATATAAGGTTTAAAACAGAGTATAAGGCCTTGATTATGACTATACTGTTGCTGGCGCTGCAAAAAATGGGGTTGGGTCTGTCCCAGAAAGAAACGGTGACAGTGGGTAAACCATGATCACTATTTCATAAGGAAGGGCTGGAACTGAACCATCATCCACTGTTGCAGGGCATAGGATGGATATACACCAAAAAAGAGTTGGTCCAGCAAGGCTCTGCTTTTCCGATCCAATTCAGTGGAATCACCCTGGATCACCCGCAGTCTGCGGGGATTGCAGTGGACGCCCCCCCAAAACGAAGCGGTGGAAAGCAGGTGAAGCAGAACAGCAACCTCGAAATCTCCTGGCCTAACAATCCTTGGGCTCTCCATGGCAGGGGTCGGACTTTGCATGGGAGGGGTCTGGGCCCTCAAAACCCTATGTGTTTGAGGGCCCGGATTCTTAGCGTGGCGGAAGTCCAGCATTTTCCAGGGTCTTCATCAGGGTTTGTAGGCGGTAGAGGGTCCGGAGGGTGGAATTGGTGTACCAGGTCCAATGGAGATCCCTAAGTAGTGAAGTAGTGTAGGGACATCCACTGGTGACACCCTATGAAGGTGCTGGCAGAAACTTAAAGGAAGGTCCAGGTTCCACAGACGATCACAGACAAACAGATCAAGGGGAAAAGACCTTTAACAAAACATGGTGGAATTCAAGAACGCTCCATGTGGCCTATATCAGATCTGAAGCATCATTATCACTCAAAGAGATTGGGTTTCCTTTCCTTGTATTGATTTGCATGTTGTTGGCGTCGTTTGTTTCAATCCTCTTGTCCTTTTTTCCTTTTATCATCCTTTTGGGTGACCATCCCTTCCCACTTGTCCACAGATTTGAGATGATCATGATTCTCCCGAATCGGAGATGTTTCGTTCCGTCCCCATGCCCACCGCGCAAGTCCATCCCCCAGCCAACAAAAGCACCAAAGCACAAGCAAGCATGCCGGAGAATTGGAGGCTATGTATACAGGCTCCAGCCCCATCCATCCATCCCACCCACTTCGAGGGAAAGACTGGCCAACACGCATCTTCCAACGAACGGACTCGTCCCCCTGCGGTCGATGGGGACAGACAGCCGAGGCCGGTGCCGGTGTCCAACGGGTTAGCGGACGTGGATCTCTTCAAAGTCGTGCCACGTGGAGAGGAACGTCGATGGATTCAAAAGGAGTCGACCTCGAACGTGAGTATAGTTATACACCTGGATCTTCTAATTAACTGTCAATAGGGATGAGGTCCCAGTATAGTTGCTATACAGGTACAT